TCTCTCTCTCTCTCTCATAAAAAAGTTTCAATCAAAGCATGTATGAGTATTGCACAGAACAAACATTCATGGCATGTTATTTAACCTTTTTTCTATTATGTGAGCGATTTTATATTTTGCTTTACGTAAGCAAATAGATTGAAAATTCAATTCAATTCAGATAAAGTCAAACAGTCGCAATGCGGGTAATTTCATAACTTTTTCCACTCTTTCGTTTTGCTGTCGAAATATCCGGAGAACTCATAAACGTGGCCAGGCGTTAAGTGTTACCTCCATAAGTTTCACTTTTCCTTTTACACGTTGTTATTATTATCGCACATCAAATGTGGATGGAATTTCCACCTTTTCGTAAATCATATTCTATCCTCTTTATTTTATCCTTCTATCTGACTATCTCTCTTATTCTCTCGTATCTTTCCTCCATAAATCGATAAAATACATACAAAATTATAAATATTATCAATATTAATGTCAAAAAACAGTAATTAGTTGCAATCAGTCAGCTAGTGTCATTAATATCATTAGTTGTTTAAGTATAAACAAATCATTTACCTCGTTTTTGATTGTTTTTACGGTCTCGCAGTCGGATTCGACGTAAAAGATAGAACTCATTTCTGAACGAAACCACATAGTTCTCGTCTGTTTATCTTTCTTCTTCTCTAAATAATTTATTATTACGCTTAATCATATAATCACCGAGTGTCTTGGTTTAAACATAAACATAATAAAATAAGGCACTTGTATCACTACACTTCATGAATATTCACTGTAAAATTATTCTATATTATATTGTTCTTTCGACAATTTTTTCAACGATTTTAAAATACTTTGTTAATCTTCGTATTGTCGAATCATTTTCGCTTTTGAGATTCATCACTCAGAATAATTCTATTTCCGTTCCTTATGTTTTTCTCTAATCGCAAACAAGCCTTTCCTCGATTTCAACTTTTTATATTCGTACATTTTTTATTAGATTTTTAATTAATATTTATTAAAATATTTATTAAGTAATTCAAGATTTTAATTATAGAGGAATGTTTTCAATATCCTATCGTTACAGTAGTCCCGTGAAAACTGGAAAGCGAAACCATAATCACGCACCTTCCCCCATTTAAGTACGCAACGCGTGTCCTCCCTACTCTATCACAAGTACTCTCTCTTTCTCTTTCTCTTTTTTCTCTCTTCGTCATCCCTATCTCCCCTTTTGTTAGCCAATTATCTCTCAACCCGCATTAATTCTTTATTCAACCGAAAGCCGCTGCAAAAAGCTCGTAACGAGTGAAGTAACAGCAGAATTTCAATTATTTGGCAGCGTGTGTTTAAATTAAACTAATTAAAATGAGAAAATGTTTCTTTGATACATAATAAAAAGTTGTAATTTATTTTTTTTCAAAATTAATAGTTCTTTGTAGGAAATTAGCATTTACAAAATGACTGCTGGAGTGGAACTCTTAATAACGGCGGAGCCTCATTTTATCCCAGGGTAGAAAGTTAACCCTTGCAAACCAATAATAATCAGTCTTTATATATATATATATATATATATATTGTTTCTAGTAGAAATAATTAATGAGTAATATTTTTCATAATTTAACTCGCGAATATCGAAAAAATCATTCGGCTATTCTTTTCAGGTATTCCGGTTATTGTCCGCAGTATCGATTTAATTACGGCGAAACGTATGCAAAGGCCACGCATAAGCTACTGCTCGATCCTACGATTAACCATGCGAATACGCTTGTCCTGTCGAATCGTGCAACCGATAATTACGAGGTGAACGATTCGCGATGCAATGTCTTGCGATAATATGGCAAATGAAAGATAAGATAACATAAGATAAAACGATTTATATAAGTTTTCAAAAACTTTCCGAAAAAGATATTTTAATAGATGGGCCGTATATTAAACTTTTTAATACTTATACTTTTAATTTTACTATAACTTTTTATTCGTTACCGAACAATATGTGCGTAGATATGGCGACCATCAAAGAGCGATATAAATATGGTCAATATTCGTTTCAAGAGGACTGATCCCCTTTTCGTTCACCCCATGTTGCCAGGATATGAGGGTACCTATCGATTCCTTGTAATACTTATCAGTACAAACTTTCGATACGCGCTTAAAATTATCACGAGTCCGCGCGTAAAATATCATGTGTACCTCGCTAAAACGAATTTCTTTGAAATTCAGCCGATTATTGAACATTGCGTAGGTTTCATACCGGGATCAAACGCTGTACTTGGACAGAGATACGCGGTGCGCGCGACCGAAGGTCTCGCCAATTTCGAACGTCAACAATTGCGGAAGAAGGCAGTGTCAGATCAATTAAGAAGAACGATCGATGTGCAATGCAGACGGGCCGAACCATTGAATTTGGAGGAACGTCTGGTAAAAGAAAAGAAATTACTAATATCATAAATTTCAAGATTGAAATTGGAATATCTCATTAATTTTCAATAATTTTTAACAGCTAATTAAAAGCCATTATAAATTGCCGTTGCTTGTTGTGCGATCTGAATGGCAAAAATAAACAATTTACTATCCAAGACAAGAAATTACTTACTGTACTTTTTACATATATAAATATTATAAATTTAAAAAATTATAATTGTATAGAATAATTGTAAAATAAATTGAATATTAAAAAATAAACTAAATTACACCTTATATTAACAGAATGTTATTTCAATTGTTTTTATAAATCAATGACAAATTTATTCTCTGTCATTTGATATGTTGAACCTCTATACTCAAAAACATTTTCTTAGTTTTTATGCGATTATTAATAATCGAATGAAATGAAATTCTCGGATAAGAAAAATTCCGTGTGGTATACTTTTATATGCAAAAACGCAAGAAGTAAGTGACTAAACTGAGAAATCATATTTATATACCTAAACAAAATAACACAATATTTTTAAAAAAATACACAAGATATATTTAAAAGAAAAGAATATGTTAATACGTTGTTATATTGAGTATATTTCGCAAAGAATATGCAACTATTCCTCATGGTTACACGAATTTGAAACCATCAATCATCCTATCGTCTGATGCAACAAATTATCAAAATGGACAAAATACAAGATATGAGTTTGTAACTGCTTACTCTGATCCTCCCTTATGTGTTCAATCCACTGAGATTTACTATAAAAACATCGGAATGATACCAAATTATCTTGGGCATATTCCTGGAGCAAAGTTCAGGCAAGTTTAATTAATTAAATACGATTATATTATAAATATTAGAATCCGAAGGACCCGAAGATATCGCGCGCATGTACATATATACTTAAAAATAAAAAATAATAAAATAATAAAAATCTAATAAAAATTCGAAAAGAAAGACTGGACTCGAGGATCCATAGATTCAAGGATCAAATATCAAGAAGATACATTTTATTCAACAATTTGTTTATTTCGCAGATGCGGTAAAACGTTTGGAGCTGACACAAGAAATGTCAAGAAATGGCTTCGAAAAGACTTCGATTTGTAATTTAATGTTGTAACGTTGGTCGAGTAATAATCGATATCACAAAATATCATCTCTCTGAATCATATGTCATGTCAAAAAATATATATCGTAAAAATTTACTATGTCTAAATTTATGTCTATAAATATTACAAATGTAACAAGAATGAATTATTTACAGATTCAAGAGGATAGATACATAAAAATCACAAGTAATTAATCATAAGTAAATAATCACAAGTAATAAAATCTTCTTAATTATATCAAATGTTTTATGTGTAAAAAGCGACTCAAAAATCTAATGCAGTGTATAAGAATGACTTATTAAGTCATGCAATATACACATACATATATACATGTACAGAGTCAATTATTGAGACGCCCATTTCTTCAAAATATTGCCAGCTGCTTTCAAATTTTCGTCTTTCTGTTAAAACGCAACAATCGAGATTTAATAAACATCTTGGTTACTTGTTGTCATAATTATAATTATAATTATATTTACGCGACAACACTTACCTTTATAAAACAATATCGTACATAGTCCTCCGCCAGATTTTTATGTTCAGGACCATAAAACGCCGAAGGGGGAATACCTTGAAGACCGACATTCTTCGTCATCCACTTAGTGAATCTGTAATCCTTGTTCTCATCCGTTTCTTCTTGTAGTTTCACTTTGCTTTCCAATGCAGACCAGTTAGCGAGCATAAAATATCCACCTTCGGGTATTGTTGGTACCATGCCGACATCTCGAAGAAATTTCGCCATATAATCGCGTTTTGGCAATAATTCCATTGCCAAACTGTTAAAGTAACATTCTGGCTGTTCAAGACGTTCCATTTCCAATTCAAATCCAATAGCTATCGCTTCCTGTAATTAAAAAAATCAATAAGTTATTTAAAGATCATCAGAGTAAAACTTATTCTAATTAATATTTTGTTTAATTTATTACCTGAATTGGCGTACTGCATGTGTATACAGAGTTCTGATGTACAACTTGCAGATTATACAACAAATTCTCTGGTCCATAAGCCCAACCTATCTTCCAGCCTGTAACGCTGAATGTTTTGCCTGCTGATCCAATCGTAATCGTGCGTTCATACATACCGGGCAATGTAGCTAATTAAAAAAATAATTTTTATCTAATATTATTCCAAGGAGTCTATATCATATATGAAATATATCATATAATAGGGCAATTTTTACCAATTCTTATATGCTTATATGGCTTATAAACAATATGCTCATAAACTTCGTCAGAAACTACAAGCACGTTCCATTTTTTTGCAAGATCAGCAATAAATTGCAACTCGTCCAATGTGAACACTTTTCCTATGGGATTATGCGGAGTGTTGATGACAATACCTTTGGTTTTCTCATTAAAAAGACTTTCCATTTCTTTTCTATCAAATACCCAATCCGCAGATGTAACTGTGCCAGATGTAATTTTCTGTGAATATAAATAATAAATATACCCTTAATATAAACAATAAATGTATACTTAACATAAAAAGTTTTCTTTTTGCATTTGCTTTTGAAAGTTTTTACCGGTTTTAATGCTATGTATCTGGGAATTCCTCCGGCAGATTGTATTATAGGTACATAACAATCAAAGAAAGGTTCAATGATAATCCATTCATCTCCAGGATTAGTGTGACCTTGCAAGGTAGCGTATAAAGCTTCGTAAGCACCTGCAGTAACCAGCACTTCTGTGTTTGGATTCAAATCGTGGTTAATAAGCTTAGAATAAAACTTGGCGATTGCATTTACTAATCTAGGATGACCCTGCAATATTAGTATTAACATTAGTAATAGAATTCATTATGTTGTCAATAGATAAGATAATGTTATCATCATTATTAGCTGCTATTATTGATAATATGTAATTATTATTATATCACTTCAAAATATCATGAGAAACTAGATTAAATTAATAAGAAATATATAAAATAATTAAAAAATCTAAATAAAATATCTATTATTTACAAATCCTCTTGTATACTGTTGCAAAAGTGGATTGTCACTTTTGGCAATAGCAGCTAGGGCATTGGTTACATTCTCTGGTGCATAATAGTCAGGAAAGCCCTGACCCAAATTCAAAGGTTTATACTGTAGAGCGAGCTGGATATATTCAACCCTAACCAAAAGCAAGTAATAAGTAAATCGTTATACAAATATATTTATAGATAATATATTTATTAGAAAAATATAATTATAAAATACATTACTCACCAAACAGATTTTTCATTGCCTTTCAAACGATTGGGCAAATCGAACTTTGACATGCCAGCGATGCTTTTGATATTTCTTACGGCACTAAACGGAGTAGTCTTAGTCGTCGCCAAGAAACAGACTCTCGTTAGCATCTAACATGCACAAAGAGATAAATCATTATAACAAGCATGTTGTATCTTAATTATACATGTTCAAGCGAATGTCAACAGACAATTCGATATAGAGATTACCTTCTATCCGAAGGGCACAGATTAGGTTAGAATGCGACAATTAATGTTATGATATTCATGTTTGACGTGCATAGAAAAAGTACACGCGACAATGATAAAAGCTTACATAATTCATAAATATCGCTGTGGCGGGAAACTTAATTTGAATTATCGCCATTTTTAATTAAACTTTATGCGTCCTTGGATCAATATTCATTTCTACAAATGTAGATTAATTTAAGCTATCTCTAGTTTAACTTTTTTTATTTCTTTTTGATTTTAAAAATTAGAGAAAGATGAAAGATAAATTAAACCAAGATTAACATTAATATATTTGTAGAAATGGACATATTGCAATTAATTGTTGAGAGAAGTGCGATATATGTTGTCAAGACATATGTTGTCAAGAAATGAAGTGATTTTATCAAGGACTAGAGAAAAGAATACGTATATGTACTTAATTTCACTGAATTTCAACGTTGTTCGCTGCTCAACGCTTAGTGGCGATAATGAAACTACAATAGTCTACAACATGTTAAAAAATCGAGCGATGAATCGAAGAAGGAAACGCGTCGGCGAACATCTGGCGGCTTACAAAACTTAGAAAAAGGCACGTGACGCAACATTGAACCGCGCCATTGGTCTGGCCGCTTTTGAGAAACTTCAAACTCTTTCGGTGCAGAATTCAAAAATTCTATTTGAATTCCGCACTGAAAGAGGAAAATTTCAATTAAATACACGATTTTTTATACACGCTTCTGCTATTGGTGCCATTCTCGCCTTTCCCCAGTAAATTCCTCGGAAAATTAAATTTTGTTCTTTGAAAAACTGAAGAATTAAAAAAAATGTCTCATAAAACAGCTGCATGATAATTGTATTATTGCGTCCATGTACGGTTACATTTTATTATGTTCTATAATTCCAATATAATACCTTATAGAACGTAAATTCTCGTCGCTTGCTTTTTCTTCTTTTTTTTCTAAAATAAAACAAAAGACTTACCGAGAGCGCGAAGAAGACCGTAATTCCTCTCACGACAGACATATTTACTTTGCTACACTTTGCTACTTCCAGTTCGAACGAAATGTAGCAACAAGAGACAAGCAAAGGTCGACTGCTTTCACTTTTAGCGGTCCACCTTCGATTTGATGTACGGCGTTGGTTTTTGTCCGCACAGTTTCTTGTTTGGTTCTTTCCATTCGCGCGCGCATTTTCAATCGCCCGTGGCAAAGCGCTTTTTTGGTTTTGCATCTATAATAATAGCCTTGTTTACACCGATCACTTGATACGTGTATCAAGTATTATACACATTCGTACAAATTGATTTAATACAATGGCGTATCGTGACCTACCTAGTTTATACCGTAAATATATATACGCAAATTTTAATACACAAATCAAACGGTACGCATTAAGCATTAAATCTAGTGTATTTATACCGAGTGACATGAAGTAAATAGAGGGAACAAATAGAACGAATAAGATTCGAATAAAGTACACATCAAATAATGTATAGTATCTTCCTACTAACTCTTTTGACTAAACCTGTTGTCTTCTGGCTATAGCAATGGGAGAGATGCGCAAAGAGCTGCTTTTATAGAGCAAAATTGCATTTGCGCATAATGCGATTTATTAATCGATTAATTAAAAAACTCACCTATACTTTAGAAGAAAATCTGAGAAAACCTAAATCGCCTATTATTTAATACGCAAGTATTTATATATGTGCTACATATGTGCTGGATACATGTATTATTTTAATACAATCCGCTTTCATGATACGTATCGTACCAACTTAATACACTATCGTTTACACCATATCGTATCAAATCAAATTTGGTACGAATATAATACTTGGTACACATATCAAGTGGTCAATGTAAACAAGGCCAATCACTTCACTCGGTGTAAACACACTAAATTTAATGCTTAATGCGTACCATTTTGATTCGCGTATTAAAATTTGCGTACGGTGTAAACTAAGTCAATAAGTGAATTTTCATAACTGTCAGAGTGAAACTCATCAGCTTTCATGAACAATAAATGTGAAATAATAAATTTGTATTTTATACATAGCCTTTGTATACTAGATTGCTAATTTTACCATTATGTGAAATCATATTTTTACATAAATTTTATATTATTAGATATGCCTTCCCTTTTAGAAAGAGATAAATGTCGTATTTTCTATTTTTCATTTTTTGAAAGTAAAAGAAGGAAGACATATGAATAATAAAAAAATATAAGATACTGCTCTCTCTTTGAACTTTGAGCAACTTTGAACTTTGAAATCTTTTTAATTAGAAAACATCTCCAGTATAAGTCTATATATTTTTAAGAGAAGTTATGTTTGATAGCATATTTAGGATGCGATCAAAGTCTCACTATAAATATTTTGAACCGTTTGACTGACTAATTGAAACAACGAATTTATTAATTAACCAATTACAAAGTAGATTTGTTCTTTTCCACTGCATTGGTACTGCACTGGAATCGGTGAGGACAGCATAACTTTCACAATTGCAAATGTACGGATAGAGATGAAAAGAACGCTACAGAACAATAATCAACATGGCACGTTACATGATTATAATTATCGAAGAATAAGCATGCGATAAAAATCTCCCGCCCGGCGATCATCGTTGATAAGCGCATGAAGAATTGTTACTTCAAGCGGCAATAGTTATAGCTAATATATGAA